AACAGTGTGTTCTGTGGAAACCACCCCACCGATACCCAACCCCACCTCACCCCCAAACTCACTCATAGAAGACAGAACATATTTTAGATCACCCTAAAAAGACTCTTATTAAAGCAAGTGTAGTTGGCTAATGTAACTTTGACAAAGCTGGACAACATAATGTTCACTACCTCTCTTGTTTCTGTTTGTTTTTAAACTGATGGCAGCAATAAACCAAAAAAGTGTAATTTCTCGTTAAAGGACCAAACATGTAAAAGCACCAGAATAATCCTTTAAGCCATTTGACCTTGTGTTTATGGAATTCTGCAGCGCATTACATGTGACTGAGGACAGCAGAACAAGCTGCCGCAGACAGTAATGCTGGTGAGCAACATCATAAACCTCTTAATGAGGCATTTCTCCCCGCCAGAAACACGACACGTCAGCCATTAGAGCTAAGCCTCTCGTAACAAACACCAAGTTAGATGTGGAAAGAGATTCACATCTCCTAATCTGCAGGAGGAAGTGTTGTGCAGGGACAGGAAAATACCAATATCATCGCTCGGAAAAAACAACAACTTTGTAATTCGCTGAGCATTACAATCACTGAGTGCTTTCTCAACACCGTCATAACGTTTTCAGGTTATGTTTGAGAGCTCCTCCGTCCGTCTTTGAGCCATGTGTAGTTATGTAAGTGAGTGTTCGCGTGTGTGTGTTTCTCCACATATGAGTATTTATCTGTCTTCTGCATGTGTGTGTGTGTGTGTTTGTAGGAGTGTGGAGTTCATTGCCGTAGTCTGGTCTCCATTATTTCCTTATTTTTGTTCCCATAGCCCTCTGTTCTCTCTCTTATGGAAGCCTATTTCTGCCAGAAAAAACGAAAGGAAAAAAAAAGCATGACAGCTTTAATAATTCCTGGTATTCCTGGTAAAAAAGAAAGAAAACCAGGAGGTTGAAATAAGAAAATAAGGACATGGCTTTCAACAAGGTTTCAACAGGGCTGAAGATGATCCTTCAAATGTCACATACAGCCTCAGGCAGGAAGCAATACAAGAACAAATGTAATCTTAATTTTTGTTCTCATTTTGTAAGCAGCCATTGATTTCTGGATCTTCTGAGTGGTTGAGACCATCCATCTCAAGGAAACACAAGTTTTAAATTTGAAAAATGTAAAAAAAAAAACACATGCGTATCATACAATCAAATTCAGATTATTATATGTTTTAGAGTAATTATAATGATTGGATTATTAAAGAAAGACCATTGATCCCATTTAAAGACTATAAAACATGTGGATGATATTGGTTGTGTTCAGCTTCACTTCACAGCTTTTATTTCACCGTACAGCAACTGCTACAGTTCTTCTTCTCACAGGCTTTTTTTTTTTTAAATTCTTGGGCATGTGTCAAACGTGGCATAAGGGATGCCCTTATGTGGTGTTTAGGGGGCGTTACCTATGCTACGATATGCAAACGGTCCCGTGTGTGATCAAGGGGGATTCATCATTCACACCTGGGGAAGAGCCGATACGAACTTTTGGTGCGTCTGGAGTTGAGTTCTCTTATTTTGTCTCTAATTAAGAGAAAATATGTGAGAAATTGAAGAGGATGTTGCTGCATGAGGCCCAATATGTCACATCAAACACTGTTGCGACGGTAACACCCATACACGCCTTGGGAAGTGTCAAAGTAGTTTTCCATACATTTCCAAATCTTTCCAGGCCTGCGTCGGAGCCGTGTTTATTTACTCTCCTCCACTGACTTTCCATTTCTCTCGTCTCTTTTCCCTCCATGTGGCATTTCCAAGTACTGGATGACTTGGGCCAAAATATCTGTTTGTTCCTACCGTCAACAAAAACTACCCTCTGTGGGGGTAACCCTGCCCTATGTGGTAAACCGTGCACGTTTTTTGTTTGGGCATAATTAAAAGGGGCAGTTCTTGAGATGAAGGGTGTAACACAAGCAACCGTATACCCCTGGATCCAGAGAGGAAATGAAAGGATTCGAGGGGTGAAACCTCTCCGGTCACACAAAGACTGTTTTCTTTCCCACTCTAGGGGGGGGGGGAACAAATATCCTGTAAATATATATGTTTCGCTCTCCATTTAAAACAGAACAACTCATGTGAAAGAAGCAGCATGTTTTTTAACTCGGTCAAAAATATAGGATGTGGTTAGGGTCGATTTCATAAGCAGGCTGTGTGTTTCCATCTGCACTAAATCAAACTGAGACAATGATGCTAGAAGCCGGAAACGTGGTCTAGTAATAAACCATCATCGTGCTTGTCAGAAGTATTTGTCTTGTTTTTTTTTACTTGAAGTTCTGTGCTGTTTTTATTTTTTTATTTTCTGTGCGAATCCCGTTCACAGAAAGATGTTTCACTTCCTGACAACTAGCTCAGGTAGTTTCTCTGCCGAAACGTTTGAGAAACTTATCAAACTCTGGAGAGTCTGCCTGCATAGCTGAGAAGTGAGGTCAATCCTTCGCTGCAGCTGCCGCCTACAAAACACTAACAGATAACAGGCCTGCCTGTCAATATCGTCTCTGCCCCCCCCACCACCACCCCGTCTCTGCTCGCCCTATTTCTCATCAAGACTTTTTGCCTTACTGCTTCAAGAGTGTAATGCCCTACAGTTGTCCTATAGTTGTGACAAATAGCATCTGTCGACTGGATTCACAATACTTGAACTCCACATTCATGAGCAATGCGTCAGTGACACCCCCCCCCCCCCCTCGATTTTGCGAAACCCGTCTCATCAGAGGAATGATGTTGCATTGTGCTGACCCAAATGAGGTGAGGAGTACGGATACGAATCCCCCCCCCGGCTTGTTACTACGAACCTGACATTTTATTTGCCTAAACGTTACCGAACTTAAACCATTATATGATTTTTTTTTATGATGTTTGAAAAGCCCTTACAAATGATGTCTGATGCCTATTTACTGTCTTTGACCTCTGGGCTTTTATTTTGAAAGCTTGGCCTTTTTCAATGTCAGTTACCAATTGTCTCAATATTAAATAGAGGAGCAAGTTAAATGATGGAAATTCTTTGTGAAATATAGTGAAAAAATAATACTCCCCCCCCCCCCGCCCCATTAGATGACCACCATGCATTTGAGTACAATTATGTCTTAGAAATCTGGCTTTTAGTGTTATTGTTTTGCTTTTGAGGCTCCATAACCGGTAACCTAATGTACCCGCAAAAGCAAAGTAATTGAAAACACTGTACAACAAAAGTACTTTGTAGTCAAAAAGTGTTGTTAAAAAGTTTTAGATGTGGTTACAAAGTGACATGGGTGATTTCCTCCTCTAGACTGATGGTGCGGTTCCTATGTGACGGATGATGTGGTTGTAGAGTGGTTGTCAACACTATAGCTCCCAGGCAGAGTGGCTTTAGCTCCTATACTGTAAATGTTAAGATCCCATCAGTGGTCGTGTTGTTGGATACATTTTCAAAATCTTCTGCTTCTTTACTATTTTGTGGTTCAGTAGTGGGAGAGGAAAGACAAGGAGTTGCCTGGTTCACACCCAGAATGTGATATTACCATAATATATATAAGGTGGAGGTGGCTGGAAGCCTCCCGTGTGCGACGTAACACGGTATAAATTCCAAGGTGACACTGAAAAGACCTGCCATTTTGATCAAGTAATCTGTATTCCAGTTTAAGTCCCAGTGAATCATTGTCTCTCATTGTGAGTCAGACCAAACCAAGTCATCACTGTTCAAATGCATGATTTACATTTAAAACTCATTAAGAGTCATTCAAATACAAACTGCGAAAATACAAATCCATAAAATCCATATACTGGTGAAATACAGTGCTGTATGCTCTCTTGGTAAAAGAAAGTCAGGCCAACATCACATTTTTGTGGCATTAGATGCACATTCAGCTCAAGTGATTCGTCGGGCTCATTAAAAGGCAGAGGAAACCAGGAATTAGTATAGTTCAGAACATGTGCTTAATCACTTGTTAGTAATAGTGACTCACAACCAAAACATAGCCAAAAAACTCACAACAGCCAAAAACTGTGTTTTTGTGCTACTTAATTTGTGTGCCTGTCAAATTCTGTTATTAGCTTCAAATACAGATATATTGCACTTTTTCCTTTTCAGGATACAGACACATGTGATGTGAGTAATCGCCTTTGAGATTTATGACGGATTATACACAAGTAGGCCCTAGAAAAATCCTGTTACAAAATACGAATCATCAGTGAAATCTGTGTCTTGGTGTAACTGGATGAAACCATGGGCCCAGAACAGCCTCACTGCTAATAAATTACATGAAAAATTGGTGAAACAACATTTACTAAACTTTTTCTCCAGTCAAACCATGCCATGTAACTTCATGGGGGTCAAGGATCAACAACTAGAATGGCAATAGACTTCATATAAGACTTTTTGAAGCCTCAAATTTGACATTTTGGCCGTTGCTGTCTTGGTTTTTGGCCGTCGCCATTTTTTGATTTTGGTCCTCGCCATCTTCCTTTTTTGCAACCAGAAATGACATCTGAGAGTGGAGCAAAGTACAGGCGAACGCTGACTACTGGATGAGACATTTTTAGGTGACCACAAAGGTTTCAATTAACTTTCATGAAGTGAAAACACACGGTGAAAGGGTTAAAGTTCTATAAAGAATACTCTGCTTTATGGTCTATTTTACTCTAAATGGACCATCATTTAATTAACGAACAACATGCTGTATTGAAGAAAACCTAAACTATAGATTAAGACCATAAACTCATGTTTACAATGTTTACTGAGGGAATGAATAAAGTGAGAAGTAGAGTCATTTTCTCTTAGACTTCTATACAACCAGAGGAGTCGCCCCCTGATGGACATTAGTAAGAATGCAGGTTTAAGACACTTCAGCATTGACTTCACTTTTCAGAACATGAGATTGCCGCATATTTTCCCATTTAAAGTAACAAAAGCAACCTTCAGAACAGAGCTGTCTTTTATATATTCCTGAACAGTTTTCCTCAGCACCAATTCCAACCTCTGCTTTGTGTTTCCTTAGGTGCGTTCATCGTCTGCTGGACTCCCGGCCTGGTCATCCTCCTCCTCGACGTCTTCTGCGTCAACTGCAATGTCCTCACCTATGAGAAGTTCTTCCTGCTGCTCGCCGAGTTCAACTCGGCCATGAACCCCATCATCTACTCCTACCGCGACAAGGAGATGAGCGCCACCTTCAGGCAGATCCTGTGCTGCCAGCGGCAGGAGAACGTCAACGGGACGGTGGCGGAGGGGTCCGACCGGTCGGCGTCGTCCACCAACCACACGGTGCTGAGCGGCGGAGCGCACCACCATCACCACCACCACAACAACGAACACTCGGTGGTATAAAAAGGAAGGGCTGGACATCGCGGGGATTAATCCAGCCACTTGAAGGAGGTTAATCTGTGTTGGAGATACTGACTGAGAGAAGGTGAACGGGAAGGCTTGAGGGGGACTGCGAACATGATACGAACTAAAGACAGTAAGGTGATGACTCGGAGAATGAAGATTAGATAGATGAGTTGATGACGAGCTGGATGAGATCGCAGCGAAGAAGATGGCGTCTACGAGGACTCTGATAGGCTGTTAGTATTTCTGCTTAGTTGTTTATTAATTGTTTTGAATATGTTGTCACGGACAACGCTGGTATGAACTATTTAAAAGTAATCTGTGAAATGAAGGTAATGCCAGTACTCCAGTGTTCTTTAACTTTGTATCCTGTAATTTCAGACTTCTTCCCCTCGATCCCCATTCTTAAGAAAGATCTTGTTACATCATACAGACCTTTTACATTCAGATAGCATTACACTACCATTGGGGTGTTACTCCACATCCATTGGAGGACTCTTTTCCAACACTATTCTTTCTTTTTTCCTTTATGTTTGGGAGAAAAGACCTTACATTTTGAGAAACACAAAAGGCTGATTTTTTTTTCTCGATAGTATTTGGATCCATTTCCAGGGTTTTGACCTTTCCAAAATGCAGGCCAAAGTGAACCATTTATGTGACATCTTGCTGATGCTCATAAGATAAATGAATATATCAATACTGACATGTTTGATATGTTTAGCGACTTACCAAAAATGACCATTATGGAGTTTTTAAGTCACCAGAGCTGTTATTTATTTCTGCAGCAGATTCCTCAATCATCTTTCAATGACAAGAGACCTTAGACCAAAACTCATCATTCCACTGATCCCCATCTCCCACTGATAAGGCTTTAGTGAATCCAGTTTCTTCCTTCAGTCCAACTTAAATACAAGAGGCGTCCAGGATCTGTTGTTTGTTCCCTCTGAGGAATTAGAGACAAGTTGTTCCAGGGATCTCACTAAAAAGGGGGAGGATGTTTGCGGTTTTAGAACAGGCTCTGTGCCACGGTGTTATGTGGAGACACGGTGAAGGTCATCTCTGCCGAGTGTTAGCAGACTTCGGGTCATGACATGAAATGCGCTGAGTTGTCTGCCTCTCGTGGTTTTACGAGGCGTCTCCACGAGGCTGACTGAGGAAAAAGTGAATGTGAAAGTAGAGTTTGATGTTTACTCGTTGTGAGAGGTGGCAAGATGGGCCGTCACGTCTTCTTATAGCAGGGACATGAAGTTAAAATTGGTGCCTGCCTGAATTTGTACTTGACAAACTCAACTTTGCCACGAATGAGACAGAAGTAACAGTTTTGACTGCAAACACTGACCCGCGAGTGTCACGACAGTCCATATAGTTATATATGACAGTTACATTTCAGGCTGGACCAAAGAGGTCGACTGACCCACAGATCAATTTTATTGCCACACATAAAGCCACAGTGCTAGCTTGGCCAATAAAAATGCAGTTTGCAATCAGGAAAAATTTCCGTTTGTGAATTTCCTCATTTTCATGAAGTTCTCTCCTACAGTACCACAGTACCCTGCTTTAAAAACACTCAAAGGAAAGTGTGGAAATATTGTTCCTGTTACCAGAAACTGAATGTCATGTACACATTTGTTTTTTCTGCGACAGTGTTATTGGTGATATGAAGTAATACAGATGTCCATCCAAAATAATATATGACGTTTTGTTTATGTCACTATATAAGATGGTTGAAGGTATGATGTTTTTCAGATTTATTTTGTGAACCAGTCCTTATTTGGAAATGCTGCAGATACAAATAATCCAAACCTTTTTCTGAACCCCTGCCTCTGTCTCCTCACTGTCCCTCCTCGTGGCATCTTAAACAGGGACATGCCATGCGTTTAAAGTGTCCAATTGATTTAAAGGTGCAGTGTGTAGGATTTAGCTCCACCTAGCGGTGACGTTGCAGACTGTAACTGACTGAAACTTCTCCCCTTGTGCCAAGCGTGTAGGAGAAATTCAGTGGCTAAATGACTTTATCTAGAGCCAGTGATTGGTTTGTCCACTCTGGGCTACTGAAGAAACACGGCAGCTTACTGTAAGGTGGCACATATTATAGATTGGACTCATACGTATCCGGGTGACAGGCATAAAGTGGGGTTCTGATCATGTTGGTGTTTATCGCAACAACTTTATGGACTTTTATACCACAACACAACATTAAGCATATTTGGTAGTCTTATTCTTTTTAAAGGGGCACTGACAACAATGACGTCTCATAGTTTACTCTTAAGATAATACGCTTGTTAAATGATATCTTATTGCCTCAAGTGCACTCCTCCACTGTCTGCTATTAACTTGAGATTCAACTGAAGTCAGCCAGCCTAGTGATGCTGTGATGTACGTTGTTAAAAATTACCAGCTGAATTTCGTCGTGACTCGACACAAAACACATTTTGGCCAAAATACACAGACAAAAGTCCAAACAAGCGAACAGCCAGATGTTTTCCAGGAAGCAAGATGTTTGTCAGGGATTTAAGCTGCAGCTGAAATGAAGTCAGCTGGTATTTGTGTGCCTGTCAGAGTTGGTCAAAATGTCGCCCTGTTTATGAGGCAACTTAAGTTCTTTTATCCAGAATTATGATTCTATTGTTCACTGTTGGCCTTTTATCTACAAGTTGTGCCTTTCCACTTCAAAAAAAAAAAAAAGAAACAAACTCAAAAATTCTAAGGCAACAATGTTAGATATTTTCTTCTTAGACAATTCAACCGAATTCCTTTAGTTTTGCCTTTGAGCTGTTGCATCCTTTACTTCTTTTAACTTCACAACAGGCCTCAATAGACTAACAGCAGCAGTTGCAGTGCCACTCATTGTATCGTTGACCAAACTTTGGCATTCTTTGGCTCTGGACCCAACCCTGCATATTTGACATTAACTGTAACCATTTTTCAAACAAAGTAATGCTTCAGGTTATATCGCAAACCAACTAAACTGTCTGTCTTCGTATGCCTCTGTTTACCAGTGTGTCATTATTTTGTACACTGTTGTAAGTATATGTGTACAGTATGTATGTATATAAAATATATTATTCAAAGTTAATCACCAAAGGGAAAGCGTTTTTGTGTTTGTAAATTTAAGTGTGTTATAATCTGTCCAAACGTACTGTAGGATTTTGTTTATGGTTATAATGTCATGAGCTCTATTGTGTTGTGAGCCTAATTAATGCATTTCCTGTTGACTATTATGGTTATTAACTTGTTTGTGACCCAGAACTAGATATCTATGTGTGCAGTGCCTTCCAGTCCTCCTCCAGAAAGAGTAACTTAAAACCAGGCTCAGAAGCAGTGTTTCACAGCCCTCTCTGGTTTAAAGTGTGCCTCTTTGCACCTGTAACCACACCCATCTGTGATGTCACAGTGTCCTAGAGTACGCTTGTACATCACCGCAGCAATGTGGGAAGTTGAACCAGTGGCGGTGAGCGAATACAAGATCTTCCGGTGGTTTTATCCTACTCTTTAATTGCATGTTGTTTTACAATTGCCTTAAAGTACAACAAAGATTAATGTCAGTGTTACTTTTACAGAAAGTATAGTGCACGGTTTCTACTTTTATTTTCAGAGCATGACTACAAACTCATGAATACAGATGGTTTTGTTTTTAGTGTGGTATGATAAAAAAAAAAAATCCAATGTGGAGACACTGATTGAAAATTTAAAGTGATCAATTTAAATTTTTTTGTCTTTTCGTTTAACATCATTCTTTAGGGCAACGTTCCCTGGCGGCATATGTCGCATGTCAAAACACTTTCACCCATAGATTTCCATGTAAGTCCACAGCCTATTATGCATGTCAGGGTAGGACAATGTCCTTTTCCCAGCTTCAACATGCGTGACCTTTCCTGAAAAACAGTTTTATCACATTAGCTCCCCAGGTTAGCACATTCCTGCCATCATATCCAGACTACTTCTGTCTGAATGTCCAATGTTTGCTATGGGCGGTGTGTGTTGAACTCGATAAATGTTGTCATTTTCATACCAAAAACTGTTCACCCGAAAGTGTATTCAAAGAATGGCGATATGTACGTTATCAGGAGCAACCGTCGGGGTCTTCCTAACTGTCTAAAAGTCTGTTCTTCCAAAGTGACACATTGCTTTTAAATGTTTTTTTGTTGCCAAGCCTCAGATTAAACAAACCGTGTACCAGTAGTTTGTAGAAAGTAAGTGTGACACAGACGTAAACGTGATTTCCATACTATCTATACTGTACGGGCCAATATCAATGAATGTCCACCCAGAGTCATAGTGTTGATATCCCAGCAACAATAAAAACATGAGAAAAGTCTGAATTACTGTCTTGTGTTGTTTTAAGGCTTTTCTGAAATCAATATTTGCAAAAACCGAGTTTCAAAAATCCCTACGACAATGCCACTCATGTCATTGACATTATACGAATGTTTTTTAAAGGTTGTACTTTATCTTACACGTTTAGCCTTGCTATCATTGCTACTCTCTGTTAACCACTGGTGTTTTTGTTTCTATGACATCTGGAAAGTCAGTAAACGGGGGAGCATGCAGAGTCACAGACAGACAGAGTGATAATGTATGCTTCACGGCATGCGGTTACTTTTTGGGCTAGACCTAATAATCCATAGACCTCGAGGCTGTTCACACGTTTTAGACAGCCCTGACTGTTAGCAGAGGTCCGTGTGATTCCGATAAAGCTGATTCTGATGTTGTAAGGCAGACACATTCGTTCCCAGCGTGGTTCGCATGATTGCTCGCTTGAACCGGCTTGCCAGAGAACATCAGTGCTTTGTCAATTGGAGCGGAATGAAGGCCGAGAAACCCCCAGAGACAAGATGTCGTAAATTTAAACTTGAATAGATCATGAAAGGTTGTAGAGCTAGTTTATGTGCTCATGAACATCTTCTCCGCAAAACCTATTTGGTCTAGGTTGTCATTTGTGATTGGTTGTCGATCTGAAGAGGGCGGGTCTTACCCGATAAGAGCCTGTCGGAGGGCGTGCTGCGAGGAGCGCAACTGTTTTTGTTGAAACCATGATGGACAGGGGATGATCACCCTCACCCCTGAAGGATTTTGGTTTATTTTCTGTCCGTGTTTATTCGTTGACTCTAAATGAAGTGAAATCTAGGCGAGCTCCACTGGGTTTCATCTGAGGACCGCATCCTTTTTGTTAGCACACGTGATGGTCTGGTAGAAGATGACCAGCCATAATGCTTAGTGCTAATCAAATCCACTAGAGCTCATCCTTTTTCCCATTACCGTGCTGTGTGTGTGCCGTGATATTTTGTTGTGTGGAAACATCTTCCTCCCACTCACACATTTATATCAATCAGTCATTCATTAAGCAATCAAGTTTTATTCATAAAGCATCTTTCAAGCACATCAAATGTGATTCAAAATGCTTTGATTGACGATAAGTAAAAAATACGAAAACGGAGAGAAGACGAGGAGAATAATGCTCACCCAATTAAGTTAAGAAAAATAAATAAAGTCTCATGGGCCTTTAAAAAGTTGACTTAATAAAATCTTGTGAGGTGAGGCTACTTCATTCTATCTTTATATCATGACGATGAATGACCAAAAACACCACGGGTATGTGAGTGCGTGATGACGCTGTTGTGATGAAACGTCACACATAATCCCCGCTGCTCTTTCGCCGCAGAAAAAAAAAAATAAAGCAAGCAAAACAAAACCGACGAAGAAAAGTTAAAAGCAAAACAAGACGAATGAATTCCATTCTGAACACTGGACATTTGAAAGTGAATTGCAGAATGTGGACTGCGTACATTAAGCACATGCTACATGCAGGACTGCACTATGTGGTATGTGTGTATGTTGAACACTACTCTTAAGAGTGGCCAGTGCCACTAATGTTGCGTGTGACATGAATGAAGCAGCAGTCGCAGCGACATCAGCAAAATGTTTTTAAATGGAAGAATGTTCTGTGCGTGTGTGTGTGTGTGTGTGTGAAACACACACTGCTCTGTTTATTGTTCCACAGCTTCGAAGTGCTAGCCTCCAGCTGACTGATATATGTCTCCCCACTTCCTGTTGCTCCACCAAACGGGCCAATCGGAGCCGGCGGGGTCACACGGGAAGTTCCTGTGTGCCATCGCTGAGTGAAGGGGGATGTCACATCTTCATCACAATGTCAATACAGACACTTTCCATGGTTTGGTGACAGACAAATGCGTCCCCTACTGTGTGTGTGGCAGATAAGGTTAATGACTTTGAATGGACAGAATCAGCAGCCGGCAAAATGTAATGGCAAGACGCTAAAAAAAAGCTGAGCCTGAACGTCCAGGAACCGCAGCGCTGCTGTTGAAACATTCAGGAGAATCCAACAGCCGACCTTCTCTGAAGCATTATTACATTTCTCCCCTACAAAGATGTACTAAACCAGTCATGACAAAACAGGAAGCCGTTTTTCTTTTTTTTAAATGGAAGCATGAATCTCGGGGTCGGGGTCCCCGACCATCAAGAGCTGCTTCTGCAAGTTGAAGGTCAGAGAGTCCGTTCAGATAAACCTCTTGTTTTGCAGAAGGGGACACCGGCTCATTCACGGTGAATGAGTGTTCCCTCCCCGGTATCCGCAGCTATGCATTTTGACGAACAGGCAGAGCAAACAGCGACAAGGAGAAGAAGGAACTGACTGCAGCTACAGATAAGAAAGGGAAACAGTGGCGATGGGGAGCGGAGGAAAGGAGGGACGGAGGAGGAAGATGGAGGAAAAACTGAAGAGAGGAGGACGATGGGGAATGAAAGGGTGAAATGAGGCAATGCTGTAGCACAAGCAGTGTTGTGAAGGTAGTTGAGACTAGCCCAATTGCACGCCAGCAGGACGGGCCCTCCTTACTTACTGCCGCAGGTTTGGCGTCCAAACTAGCCGTTACATAGAGACTTGACATTGGACAATATCAACATACACATTACTCAGCAATCATTATTGCATTTAATAATAATAATATTAATGCATTTATTTTGTATAGGGCTTTAAAGGGTACTCAAAAGCACTTTACATGGTAAAAACAACATAAACAAAGCATATACATGACATTATAACAGTTGTAAACAGCGTTTACATTTCTGTTTTCATTTTTGTACGTGAGAAAAATACCAAAGGAAATAAGAAAATGTTAATTTAATTGAAATATTTTTTAGTTTATTAATTTTTTTTGTAGTTTATGTACAAAAAGAAAATCATTTCAAGGTCAACCCAATTTTACAGACTGGTGTTCATGGGATGTTGTCCTTTTACTTTGTTTTTTATTATTATTTTACATTATTTTTCTGTCGAAGCACTTTATATACACGCGCTTTAAAAAATAAAATTATTATTAGTTATACATTGTTTTGAATTTTTTGGTGCTAATCTGGATCACTCACAATGAAAAGCTACAACAGGCCCTGTCTGCACTGTCCATATTTACGCTCTGAGCACAAGACTGAAATGACAGAAACAGAAAGTTTCTGCTACGCTTATCAGTCTTCAGTCTCACACGTGTCCGATGGAACTGGCGCGATACATCGGATACAGAAGCAAAGTAAATTCACCAGTGTCATTTTGTGTCACGTTCAACTTGGGTGAGCTCTTGACAAGTAAATACTTGTTGTTCCGAACCATCGTTGGTGACCTTTGAGGGAATGGTGAAACCTGGAAAGTTATATATTAAAACATGTACAGCACACCTTAAATTAAAAGAACAACTACTGCAACAAGCTAAAGCAGTAGTAAAGTAGAAAATAAAGTTAATAAAGAGATAATGCATATGAAGACAACAAGGATAGAAAGAAGAGACAGGGAAGGAGTGAAGGAACAAGTAAATATGGTGCAGACAGAGAAATCAGTAGGAGGAGGAAAGCGAGGAGAGGGGGAAGTGGGAGTGAGATGGTCTGCTCCAAAGTTTAGATCAAGGAGAAGAGGGATGACCAGTCCAAGGCCAAACTCCATGCTGCCTACTTTAAACAGTTTACTTTGGGAATCCCAAACGCACACGCACACATACACACGCACACACACACACACACAGGACGATGTCCTCCATAAAAACTCACACACTGGGAAGTGCATTCACAAAACGTCCTCAGAAATTCACAGTAAAAATGACTCAGGTATGGCAAAGCTTCAAGTCACCCCTCTGATCCCTCTCGTGGCGAGTAGAAACACTGCAGCATCCACATGGTGAAATGCTTTTCCCCCCGTGTGTGTGTGTGGGTGTGTGTGTGGGTGTGTGGGTAGGGGCTGTTATGGAACATGTGTCAGGGGGGGCTCATGATTAAATAAACAGAGAGAAAGAGGCTTTAGAAGCAGAGACAAGTTGTGGGTCAGAGAAAAAATAAATCTGTGTCTTTTCAGTCGTACTAGTCATGAATTTCTACGTTAATAAGTGGACATAGTCAGTCCTCCGTTACCTGCAGTGATTCTTCAGGTCGGTCTCCTTTCATGCCTCAGTCCCACTGTTTGTTACATCGTTGGCCTTCAAATAACACTGAGGAGGATTCAGGGCACGTGTCATTTGCTGTGGGTACGTCTGCGGATGTGTTTTTTTTTTACTGCTGTTCCGCACTCTTACCATGAAGCCACACCGGCTTCATGGTAAGACACAGCAGCCTGGGTGGGGCTACCGCCTGCCCTTTATTTTCAACGAGGTGCAGCGAACCGCTTGAGCCGAGCACGAGAGGACTAGTGTCGGCACGGCGAGGATGGTGGGTGATGGACGGCCCCGTCCATCCGTCTGTCCATTCTTTTAGAGAAATCCAGACATCTCAAATGATTCAACAATGTCAATTAGCACTGTGACCAAATTTAAGTCACATCATCAACCGTGTATCCAGTTTTCAACGATTGGTTTTGGTTCTGGTAAGATGTGAGCACAGGGGGTACACAGCAGGCACCTTTTGTGCACAAAAATAATGTGATCTGGTATTTTACCAGATCTCAAATGTGTGTGGTTATTATGTTTTATTTGCAAGCAATACAAAGAAATGTCATACTTTACAAACCTGCATCTTTATGTTATGTAACACACAAAAAAATAAAAATGTAACATCTCACCACATTGAAAAAGAAATCCATTCATCTAAAAAGCATTTTACCACAACATAAAAATGTTCTGTCATCGGATATTATTACATAAAACATAAGGAAACTTAAAACAGCCACTAGACAAGGTTGATGAAACAAGAGATGTTGGTAATGTTGAAATTGTATAAAAAATGTGTCTCTAATACACAGCCCTCGGGTACAAGAGGTTAAAATGAGCAAAGTTTGATCGGTAGGAGAGAGTTTCTGTCTTTGTGAGAGCCAATTAAAGATTTACTCTTTCAGAACGAGGATATTTTTGAACTCAGGACATTTTGCCCGTTCTTCACTTGCAAAAAGAGTCTATTTTAAGGCACGGGAATGAATCTAGTCAATGAGTTTCTGCCAAATTATAATTAGGCCAAATGTGTGTGTGTCTGCGCTACTGTGTGAGACTTACGGCCGATGAGGACACTGGTTGGAAGAAATCATTCATTAACTTCTCTCCTGTAATGTACTCGTTATGTCAAACAATTGAAAATGAGCTCACGCCAAAAAAAAAGACAAAGATCGACAACATGAAAAAAGGAAACAAGTAAAACGAGAATACCCCAAAAAAGGAATAGCGACTTGTCTATAAAAAACAATCAACAGCAATGGTTTAAAGCAGAGGTCTGCAACAGGGGGTCTGCAGAGGTACTGCAGGGGGTCCGCGAAATGTTTGGTTGATTAGACAATAAAAGATAAAAAAAAAATTAAAAAAAATCTCTAAACATGAATGTGTCCATTATTTAATAGTTCAGTATTGTATGCAAGATAACAGGTATGTTTATGCATGGCAGTGGCATTAATAGGCCATCACTCATTTTTCGTTTCCACATTTATGTTTAAAATGAAAACGTTAATTTGAATAGCTTGTATGCATGATTATCGTGCAATTGACAGACAATGTTGATATTGGCATTGGTATCAGCTGACAAGGTATGTTTCTAAATGGCAGTGGCACGGCCTCCCTACTCACTGTACCTTGCACATGTTTAAAATAAAAACATGAATATATGAACCTGTGTATTATTTGAATAGCTTAGTATTGAATGCACAATAAAGAGGTATGTTTATACACAGTACTAGGCCCAGTTTAATATAAAACAATTTTATACAATATATATAGTCGGGGGTCCCTGCTCCATCTCTCTATCTGATTGGGGGTCCTTGGCCTGAAAATGTTGAAGACCCTGGTTTAAAGTGATTGTGTGCCACTTTGGGAATTTGCTAGAGGCGACATTAACAACAAAGGTCTTGTCACGTCCCATTCTCCTCCTCACCCCAATGTTTGGAAGTCAGACCATTTGTAACAGCTTAATGGTTCAAAACGATTTGAAAACAATTCCATATGGAATGGATGAAGCGTGATGTTTGAGTGCATTTGTATCTGAAATGGTTATGTTTATACTTCCATGGTTATTGGCTTTGAGTCTTCAAAGGTTAAGGCTCTGGGGTTCGTAAAGAGATGGATATGTGCTCGATGCGCAGGAGTAAAAGTACCCTGAATTGAAGAAGAAAGTGTTGGGAACGTAAAGGAGCGTGTTTGGGTTATCAGCATCTAAGAAACTAAATTCTTGACATCAATAGAATTATTAATGTCAGTAACAATTATTAATAATAACGGGGCACCACCCTGCGAACAGGGACCAATAACCAAACGATGAACTAAGTCTCATAATTAGTGTTCACTCACAATGTCAATAGTCTGAGTACTATTACACATTCAGAGTGAAAGTGAAGGTTTAAATTCGACCACAGACCACATATACAGCTATTATCACAATACACATGCAGAGTAATCACAGACAGCTGCTCTTTAAAATATAACAGTTTATTATGTTCTAATACTAATGATCTAGTCAACTAATATCTAAACTAACAACAACTATACATTCATGAGCACGCTATCTAAAATCAACGGACTATGGACAAGAGGGGGGGGGGGGGGGGAGTGTGTGTGTGTACATGTAATGCGTGTGTGAGTGTGTGTGTATGTGTACGTAGGGGGAGGAGCGAGGGAACAGTTCAGCGATGTATGACGTAGTTGGTACGTGGTGATGTCTCTCATGCGCGAGACTCAAAATGGCGGATAGCCAACAGGAGACCCGGCGTCTATACGTGCCGGTAGCCGTTTAGCACGTAGCTACATTAGCTCAAAGCTATATGTGTGTGTGTGGATCAGTAAAAGAGTAGGGAAAGGAACAAAACAAAATGAAATAAAACAAAAGATTAAGATCCTCCGCGCCGCACGGGAGTACGGAAGATTGCTCTCTCAGAGACTCAAGACTCTTTGTCTCAGCCGGCGGTTTTGACCTCCTGAACTGATGAGAAGCAACTTCGACCTCACTGCGGCTGTCTCGACACGAATCACAGTAGCATGGAATACACGCTAACTTTTACACAACACTAGCAATTTCAGGGATCGCCAGTGTCGGTGATCACAAAGCATACACCAAGTTATAAAAATGAACAGTACTTTAAGCACACAAACAAGATAAAATAAACACAAATGAACTCTCTAACTCTGCCCAGAATCTATTTCGCCTTACGGTACGATGCAATCGTGGTGATTGAGGGGGGTTCTTCTGAGGGGTTCTTCTGAGCTTCGGTGGGCTCAGGCAGTGCGGCTGCGGGCCGCGGGAGGGATTCTCTCGGTGGGAGAGAATCGCTTCGTCTGGATAAGGGACGTTCGCGTCCTTATGACCGGAGCGAGCGAGGCGCTTGGTGGAGAGTGGAGAGTGGAAGTTCTTTCTCTCTCTTTCTGAAGAAGTCTTGCTTCTTCACTTCTGCAGGAATAGAAGGGCTCGCTTCGTGGATACGAACAAAGATAAAATAGACAGTTTGGTGAATTCGGCCAGCGAATATAAACTGTTAAACCTAGGATTTGGTTGAAAAGGGAAACAACGTTGGTGTGCTCCCTAGCTCGACGGAGGTCAAAGGGAAAAAGCATTGAGGTGGGGGTTGCTGGTTGTTTTGTAGAAAGGTGGCTGAACCACAGGGGTCCTGGGTTGTCTTGGCCCTAGGCCAATTAAATTGCAGCGCTGCTTTCAGGTACCTTCAGGAACACATAGTTTTTGGGGGGAGGAAACTCACACCCTAATGTGAATTTCTTCAGAGCTGGGGGTTTGGTGCTCATCAAACTACAATCAGGATGAAACCTTTGCTTGCAAAAGGGAAGGCCTGACTCTCTTTGTTCCACAGCACATGTCGAAGCCATATAGTCAGATTCCAACAAAAGCTATATGCAAATGCCTCAAATATGAGAGGTGTTTATGATGCAAGAACATTTGATAAAGGTGCCAGTTTGGGTCTCCTGAAAAGAAAAAGCTGGGCAAAGAGAACTGATTGGGTAATTCATTGGAAGTCATTGGACGAATGCTCATGCTCAAGTCCCAGGGTTCATTTAGAATATGTTTTCAGACACCAAATCACTTCATAAGTCAATGGGCGAACGTTTGTTTCTCCCAGGTTAGCAGTCAGCCTCAGCGTCAGCGCTGCAGCTTAGCGTGCTTTGGTGAATCCGCTCCAGTATCCGATGTATGCTGCTGAAGCTGGGCCTATCTGATGAGTGTGTGCTCCAACAAAGCCTCATCAGGTTATACAGCTCCAGAGGGCAGTTCTCGGGGCAGCAGAGGATGTGACCGTCCCTCACGTAGTAGATGACCTCCTCGTGGCCCATGCCGTAGTACGGCTGCATCCCGTTTGAGAAGATCTCCCACAGCACCACGCCGTAGGCCCACACGTCCGATTCGGTGGTGTAGCGGTTGTAGAATATGGACTCCGGGGGCATCCAGCGGATGGGGATTGCGTCGTTCTCGTTGGCTTTGTAGTAGTCGGCTGAGTAGATGTTCCTTGAGAGGCCGAAGTCTGCGATCTTCACCACCATGTCCTCCCCGACCAGGCAGTTCCGGGTGGCGAGGTCGCGGTGCACGAACTTGCGCTCCGACAGGTAGGCCATTCCCGCCGCGATCTGCTTGGAGATGGACAGCTGCTCGGCACAGGAGAGAAGCCCCGCCTCCAGCTCGGAAGAGAAGCTGCGGCCAGACAGGCTGGCGCGGCTGAGCGTGCGCACCGACTGGGAGGGCAATCGGCGACGCAGGAACTCGTTGAGGTCGCCGTGGGCCATGTACTCGAACATCAGGCACATGGGTTTGCCCACCGCACACACGCCTGGGGGGGGGAGGAGAAAAAAAGCATACAGGAGATTTTATTTCCATCTGAAGTGCGTTTTTTTCCTTCTACAGCGCCACACAATGAGCTCATTCACTGTAAAAGGTAAATAAATATTCAGCCGAGACATAAACACGGACGACTGCAACGTGCACGCGTCCACAAATAAACTTGCGCATAGAGGATGTACACTCTTACGTTAGTAGAACAGTCATGTAAACACAGCGTGTTTCTAAAATAGCCTTGTGTTAAAGGCGAGATCTAAAATTTGAGGTGGTGCAGATTGTGGCTGCTCTTCTTCTTCTTCTTCTTCTTCTTCTTCTTCTTCTTCTTCTTCTTC